ATAAAATATTAGAATGTTAAGAATAGGGAAAGATGAATGCTGCCTTGAAAATGTCTGTATTGACTGCCTCAACTTGTTTGGTGGTCGTCTGCTTTTAGCTTGAGTTCATCTAAATATTGTTTTTGCCTGAATCCATTTACACTTTGTCAGCAAAGTTTCCTTTTGCATTTGAAGCAAGCAGATGACTTCAAGTTACAGGTTATATCTGTGGAGAGGTGAGTCTTCTACGGTGAAAAATGCGCTTTTTTTACATTAACTTTCATTTATTTTTTTATTGTCCTCAATGACAACAGCAGTTGTTTTGGTGGAGTTTACAAAGTTGTTGATTCTTCAACAATGGATCAGAGAATCCAACAGTTCAAACACCGGAAATGCATTGGTCCATAGGGGGCGGATGACCAACGTCCATAAATGTCCTTAATGTCCCGGATCACCTCTGTCCTCGACATGGAGTGACTCAAATACTCAGTGGGAAAAAGTGAGAAACTTCAGGGAGGCTCACATTGAGAGAATGTACATTCATTTAAACCAAACTGAGAGACTTTTTCTATCGCCAAAGGAAGGTATCTGAATAAACAGACCACCACCACCTTTTAAACTTGTAAACTTTGCAACACAAGGCTGCCATGTGGTGAAATGAAAGGAGGAGCCTGAAGCTTGTGTGTTGTGAAAGAATAATGCATCTACGTCATGCTATGAAGCAATGTACATTTCATATACTTTTTAAATTTTATAGCAGAATCTCATACTCTATACAATATTCATGTTTTGTTTTTTTCATTGTTCCGCTGGGAAGATGAGCCCAACGTGGAACTAATGTAATGATTATCTCGCAGCAGGTGTCAACACAAACACATAAAGTGAAGAGTGTCCTCTGTCACATGCTCTGGTCACATGTCAAGCTCTGGCCTCTGTGAATGTGGCCACCCTGAACCTGCTCTGGAATGGACCTGTCCGTGGGCCTCCTCCTGCTCTTCACTGCAAAAAATAAGTGTCAAAGTATTATGTTTGTTTCTCATGTACATCGTATGCCAGAGCTATAGGGGGGAAACTGGAGCACCTGGAGGAAACCTATGCAGACACAGGGAGAATATGCAAACTCCAGACAGAAAGGTCTGGAGGTGGAATCAAACCCAGGACCTTCTTGCAGTGAGGCACAATCGCTAACCACTGTGCCACGGTGCCGCCCAAATAGCAACAATCTTCCTGAAATTTCATATTTTAATGTACTGCGTTTATTTATGATTTTAATGGTATGTTGTTTTGTTAAGCACTTTGGGTTGCCTTGTGCATGAATTGTGCTTTACAAATAAACTTGCCTTGCCTTTAAAAAACAAAAGTGCAGCAGAACACGTGGCAGCACGGTGGCTGAGTGGATAGCACTCTCGCCTCTCAGCAAGAAGGTCCTGGGTTCGAATCCCGGTCGGACCAGGGCCTTTCTGAGTGGAGTTTGCATGTTCTCCCCGTGTCTGCGTAGGTTTCCTCCGGGTACTCCGGTTTCCCCTACCACTAAAAATATGTCCAATAGTTCTGGCATGTTCTTCCTGTACTGGCGACCCCGCTCCCATCTCTGTGTGGAGTGAGAGACAAATGCCCAAAATTAACAATTGTAAACCGCTTTGAGACTCAGATCTGCAGTGAAAAGGCGGTATATAAATAAAAACTTACTTACTTACTTACTTACTAACACATAGGAGCCACTGCATAAGGGGGGCCGGTGACCAATGTCCATAAATGTTAATAAATATCTATACATCACCACTCACTGATGGTGAAGAGACGATTTCAATACAAAGTTTCAATTTTGGGGTTTGAAACTTAGGCACCCCAGCTTTGAATAGTCTTTGATGGATTCTCAAAATTTTCACAAAAAAAAAAAAACTCACCAGAAATCTTTGTAAAGATGAACCAAATCCAATCCCATCGGCCAGTATGGCACAAAATGAAATAATTTGCATGTGTGTGTGTGTGTTTATGTTGCATTTGTGTTGTGTGTGTATGGTGTGTGTGTGTGTGTGTGTGTGTGTGTGTGCATGTGCGGTCAGCAGCAGAAGGGGCCCTGGGGGGAAAGGACAGTGGATATTTGTCGACGTGCTGTGAGCTGCTGCTTACGCTGGACTCAACAGAGAAGTCCCACTCACGAGGTGCAGCTTCACACACATACACAACCTGTTTACCTGCCAACACAACAAAATAAAGCAGACAAAACACACAAAAATGGACGTGTCACGTGTATTCAGTCATTTACACACTAAGGCCCTGTCCACACGAAGTCAAGCTCAGGCCTAAACGCAAAAATACTTTATCAATCCAGTGTATCGTCCATACGAGGCCGGCGTTTTGGGGGGGTGTAAACGAACATTTTTGAAACTAGGTCCCAGAGTGGAAAGATTTCAAAACTCCGTATATGCCGCTCCGTGGTTACTGCCTCTCCGCAATGTATCTGAGACGCTTGCGTCATCGCCCCGCCTCTTGTTAAAGCACGCATGCGCCGCACTCAGAAAATAATGACAACAACAATGTAGCTTGTTGGTTTTGTAATCCAGTGTGACCCGAAGCAACAGTTCAACCTCATCGTCCGTCCATACTAATGTAGTACCAGCTCGCCCACTCGCCATGTTGTCTGTTTACAAAATTCCGCGCATGCCCACGGAAGTTTGGGCTTGATCCCGTCATTGCGTCACAGCGCCACCAACAGGTCTGGCATAGTTTCACAGCGTTTTCAGGCGTATTGACTACATTCATATGGACGCACACATTTACTGAGCTAACTCCGTGTTTACAGAAAAAGTTTCTGAAATTATAAGCGTTTTGTCTTCGTGTGGATATAGCCTAAATTGTGTAAATGTTTTCAGATTTCGTGAAAAGCAGATGATTCAGCCGCTTTGATGATAAAGTCTAGATTCAGACTGATTACGGGGATGATCGGAAGTGTTTCAATAATACCGTACTTCAACTTTGAGTTACAACAACAATCATACAAGGCATTAAAATCATAATACTCAAGTACAGTGAAAAGAGTGAAGACACAATCCTTCAGTTGTAAGCACAGCCAAACTACTTTTAACCTATATATACTAAATACATTTTAAAATGGGTTTCTTAGACTCTTTAACAAGCAGAAAAATGCCGTATATGGAGTCATAAGGTACCCTTTTTGAAATTCTGTGTTGACCCGGCTGCTGTGTGGATACCTAGGGGTTCGCAAATTGAACACATGATGAGGAAAATTGTATTAATACTTCATGTTTGTTATGGCAAACTGATAAGACTTTCTTCTTTTGGTCCAGTTTTGGTTCAGTCCAACTCATGACTCATTTCAGAAAATGGCAAAACAAATTTAAAACTCAAGTTAAAAAAGCAATAATACCTACATCAAAGTAAATAAATCAGATGCAAGATGACCTGAAAAACCAAGAAAATGATGAGGCCTTGGTAGAAAAAGAAAGAAATACAAGCCTCTGATTTGTTTTTTTGATTTGGTTTGTGGCCCACGACCAAAATGAGGAAATCAATCTTGTGATACGTGAAATTATAGTTGTTATTATTCCATTACAGGGGGTACTCATGCCCTGTCTATGCTGCAAAAGGGGTACGCAGGGCAAAAAAAAAACAGGTTGGAAAGCACTCCTTTAAACAACTATAGAAGTGATAGAACCAGAATTGCTGGAAAGTCCCTGCGTCAATAACAGTTTATCCCACGTTGATGGATTTTCCTCAGGCTTTCACTTGACCATGTATTTGTATGTTCTGTTTGACGTTTAAAAAAAAATCAAATGTGAGCCCTGCAGCCGTCCAGAATCTTTGTTTTCGCTCTCATTCTCTCTTTTTCTTCCTCTGTCTATTTTTCCACACGCCCACCTCCATTCTGCTTTATCACATGTCATTTCGACTTCACCCTAATGTTTATTTCTCTGTCCGTTGTGTATGTCTCGAGCCGGTCAGTCCCGCCTGGTCCCACTGTCCTGTCGGAGAGAGACTAGGATGGTTCTTAAATGTTAATAAAATCACTCAAATAGAAACAAAAAAGTACAAAGTAAATGCGCAAGATGTTTCTTTGTAGTAAAACGTAAAACTATCAGCTTTTCCACAGAGTTTCCCTGTAGTTTGGCCCAATGATGTGCACATACTGTTAAGGTATATATTCTTTGTACTCGAGTAAACCGTATTTTGTGTTGTTTTTATTTTTCAAGCTATAGATGGTGATTTTTTGTTGTTGAAAGAAAATATTATTTATAGAGCTAGAGTTAGAGTTATTTATTTATCTTGTGTTGTGTGAGTGTGTGTGTTTTTGTTGTGTGAGTGTGTGTGTTGATGTTGTGTGAGTGTGTGTTGTTGTTGTTATTGTTGTGTGAGAGTGTGTTGATGTTGTATTACTGTGTGTGTGTGTGTGTGTGTGTGTGTTGCTGTATGAGTATGTCTGTTGATGTGAGTGTGTGTGGTGTTGTTCTTGTTGTGCATGTTGTTGTATAAGTGTTCGTTGTTGTTTTATGTGTGTGCGTTATTTTTGTATAAGAGTGTGTGTTGATGTTGTATGAGTGTGTGTAAGAGTGTGGTGTTGTTGTTGGATGAGTGTGTGATGTTGTATGAGTGTGCGTGTTGATATTGTAAAAGTGTGTATCGTATAAGTCTGTGTTGTTGTTGTTGTATGAGTGTGTGATGTTGTATGAGTGTGCGTGTGTATCGTTGTATAAGTCTGTGTTGTTGTTGTTGTATGAGTGTGTGTCGTTGTATGAGTGTTAATGCTGTATAAGTGTGTGTGTTGTTGTACGAGTGTATGTTTGTTGTTGTATAAGTGTGTGTTGTTGTATGAATGTGTGTTGCTGAGTCGCAGTCCAGCCACTACACTTTATCCTTTTGTATCCTGTTTGTGGCTTTGTTGTGTGTCGTACATACAAACCAAATCCTCAGAGTTTGTCCAGTTCTTGTTACTTTGACCGTGTGTCTCGGTCTCTCGCTGGGACATAAATCGCGGCTCGTTGGCTGTTGAAGTGTGAGGTATGGAGGACCTGACGGCTCCTCGCAGCTGCGGCTGGACGGTTCTCAGGTTCACCTCGGCGCTCTCTGGCCTGTGCCTGTGCCGCCGCCTCCACCAACCGAAGGCAAAATATACACAACACCAAATAGCGTTTAAATATTTGAACTGCTTTCATATGGGCTGCAGATTTATCGCGCGCAAAAGACCGGCGAGTGAAAAACATGCCATGCAAGAGGCCGATCTATCACAGAGCGGTTTGGAGGGTACACTCAGCGATCGTGTGGCATTCAAATACAAAAGGGTTTCTTTACTTTCAATGATGATGAAGTGTAAAACCAGTGCATTCTGTTTTATCTTTGTTTCAATATTGTTATGAAAAGAAAAAAAAAGGGTTTAAAATGTTCTTGATTGCTGCAGTTTGACAAATGTCTTTCACAAATGGATTTTTTTATCTATTTTTTTTCCAGGTAAATATTATGTTCAAGATTTCTGGTCGGGCCATATGCTGGTGTGTATTGTAGAATTTTGTCTTTTTTCTTATTTATCCAAAAATCCAAAAGAGTCTTGGCAAGAGTTTTTTGCTCCAGGACAATAATACATTTACCTAAAGGTACTGTATATAGTTCCGCAAATAAAGTTCCGAGAGGGGAAAAAAACTTTCCCTCTCCACTTTTTAAACAAAACTCTCTGGTCTTATTTGACGAGCATGTGTCACCAGAATGATTGACAATTGAGAGGACCAATAGTCTTGATGATCCACCCGGAACTAGAAAATCCTCCTATATACCTTTAATTCCTATGAACGTTGATGAATAGGTTTATCTACTACTGTAATGCTTATAAAAATGTAACTGATTTTCAAATCTTCTATCAAAAGATTACAAGTCTTTGGAGACAGCAGCTGTTGTGATCTTGTGCTCTACAAAGATACAAACACAATTTTTCCACTTTCTTTGTAATAATTCTGAGATTTAGCTTGAAGAAAGAATACATGCACAGAAGGAAAGCTTGGATGTTAGGGCACAAACCTTCTTGTGTACAGTATAATGTCTGACGGTTAAATAAAGTAGTGAGACCTGTGGGAACGTCAGGAGCCACAGTGGGACGAGTGATCCGGCCTGTTAGGTCATGAAGCCTCTGAAATGATTTTCAATTGAAATGAAATGAACACCCCTAATTATTATCTACTTTCAAGCATGGATAGTAAAATGTGCTATACCATGGCATGTAATACACCATAATAAAGCCACATTTCTCAAGAAAAAATAAAAAATAAAATGTAAAAATTCTTGAACCTTAAACTTCGTATCTAATCTAAACTTTGAACCCAAAACAGAATAGTAAAAGGCCACCTATTTATTTTTTATCTTACAAAAAAAACAAGTGTCATATCTTTGGTCCTGTTTAGGATTAATCCAAACATAACTGAATACTGAATTAAATGTCATGGTGTGGATTTTATTTCTGTGTTTGGTTTTATTTTTTACATTAGTTAGGTCTCTGGTTTCAGTTTTACTGCCTGTTACCCTGTTGATTATCTGCCCCGCCCTGATGTGTTTCATCTGTGTCTTTGTCTATTATGTACCTGTGCTCCTCTCCTGTTGCTGCTGGTCCACTGTATTGTCAATGTCTGTCTATGTCTGTTCCTGGTTCCTTGTTCTTATTATTTTATTGTTATGAAACCATTATGTTTTGGCATTTCTGCATTTTGGGTCTTTCCTGCATCTCACCTCATGGCATTAACTTTATTCAGAAAAAGTAATAACATTCATATAAAAAAATTAGCCGTGATAATCGCATAATGCCTTGTTTACCGCTGTCAATTCGACTGATTTTCAGAGGATTCAACCTGTTCCGATTGCTTCTCCAAACACCCCCCTGCTGCTCCTTTATCAGTCTCTGTCCTCTGCTGCTTGTCCAGAGAGTGTGCTGCACGGGGCCATGGCGGGTGTGGAAAGCCTTGTATATTTGCTTTTTCAATACAAGCTGACCCCAGTCCCCTCGTGTTAGCGCGCGTGTGAATGCGAGTGTGCGCGCAGGTCTGAAGATCACTCTCCCATGACAACTATATGTGACGCGTCCTGAGAGAAGGCCCCAGCGCGCACACACCAGTCCAAAAACACTGTTTGTGTGTGTTTAGGTCTCGGGGAAATCTTCAGCATGTGTTGGACGGTTCCCCAGAGTTCACGCTGAGCTGCGATTGGCTGACAGTGCAGAGGAGTTTGTTTCCACAGCGACGGGGCTGTCACTGCCCACTACCACCCAGGCTGAGCTGTCAATCATAGCGCTCTCAGACAGGAAGAAGCGCAGAGGAAATGATCTATTACCGATTATTATGGTTGTTTGTGGCTTTGTGTAGTTGCATATTGAAAGAACTTCACAGAAATTTGAGTAATTTAAGTGTGGACTTCTTAAGATCAAAATAACATAACTCTGCACTGAACTTTATTAAAACATTTGTATTTGAGAAAGTGACATAATGCAGATACGGTTTGAACTTAACTTTTAAGATTAAGAAGACTAAGATTAAGACTAAGACTAAGCAGAAGCAAAGAAATATAGAAACCATACAGTAACTATAGACACTATATTTAGAACTATACAAATCTGTATATGTTTATTGAGTTGATCTTTGGGACGGTCTTCCAGATAAATAAAACATATTCAAATAAGATTACTTCTTTAAGAAAGCAATGTAATATTTTCTTTTTTGGATTTTCTAAGAAGAACTAAGAATACAGATTTTCTTTTTTAATGTTGTTTTCTTTTTTGACCACATTTTCTTTTTCTTTTTATAATTATAGTTCTTTGCCAAATGGTTGAGATGCAGTTTGAAGGTAAAAGTGCCTAAAACCAAGTGAGATGCTCCAGAGAGGTAGATTTCAGTTCCAATTTTCAAGTAGATCTAGTGATTAAAATGGTGATTTACCAAATACTTGAGGAAACTATTAAAGGGTTAACCCAAAAAGACACAGCCCAATCCTCCAGCCGCCACTGGTAACGGTCCATGGTATATAGATCAAACAAAGCATGAAATTTGTTATTGGTCCCAAGTGTTCCATCACAGAACAAGTTTCAAAAACAGCCATCTGGACCAAGTTTTCAGAGACATTTCTTCTCCCATCTACAAGTAATTTCCCTTCTGAAATGTCTTTATATTGAACATTGAAACAGGTTTTGCTATAGTTTATAATTAGCAGACAATAGAAAAAACTCTCCTAGCTTTAAGAACAGACTTAATGGCTTCATCATTAAACTGTATCCACAAAATTTTATTCATGCAAAATAATGCACCAGGTAATAGTAAATTAAGTGGTCAATATCGCCGATTTGAAAAAGAAATCCAAAAGTTATATTTCTGTAGCTACAATCTTTAACATGTTTTGTTTGTTGGCAGTAAATTTGTAATAATTTCCTCAAGAAGGGGTGAAACTTTAATTTTAAGACACAAAAATAGATTCTGCATTTCAAAAAGAGAAAATTCAAAAGATTTTTATAAACGCACTTATCTGTTTTTGCAAGTCAACTAATCCAATACATAAAAATAAAAGAAACCAGCTAAATTCTGCCATTTCTCCAGCGTTTTACTGTATGTGTTCATCGGCTCAGTTCAGGTCAATGCAGTCTGTATAATCTGTGTGCTGCTAATCCATGTCCTTGCCTCGCTCTCACACTCTACGCAGTACAGTCTGTCCTACGTTTGTCCCTCGAGGGCCACCGCCGCTCTCTCATGTTTGTACCGGCGACTACAGTAAAGCCCGCTCACTGTAAGCATCGATCCATCGACCAATCACAATCCGTAATCAATACGGCTCCATCTGTCTCCGGAGACCGAGCAAACAGGAAGATTCGGACGGACAAACAGATTAGTGAGGAGGGAGCAGACTTACAAGCATTATGCCGTCTTTAAACAAACAGAGAACTGCAGGACCACAGCCACACGTATAGATCCGCAGTCTGAAGCACTAATTAAAGCTGGGAGCCGGATGTTAAGGTGACCTTTCTCTTTCAGACGGGACCCCAGCAGATGACCCACGAGAGAGATTAGCCATGATATGCCCAATTACCTCAGCACACGGCCTGAAGTCATAGACACGCTTTTGTCTGCAATTCAAAACTATTGGAGCTAAATAAAAAAGCGGATTTTGTTACTATCTACTTCAATTTGAATGATTTTCTAATGTATACAATATGTTTAAAAGGCATGTGACATCACAAAATTCCAAAAGCTATATTTTACATTTCTGTTGGAGGGCAGTTGAAAAATCGTTCCCAGTAATTATAAATCCGTCGAAAAGTCAGATTACTAGATTGCCTTAGATTGCCTTAGTTTATTGCTAATGTTCTTGTACTTTATATCCCAGTGCATATCAATTATGGTTAAAAAAACATAATTGGGACTTTCTGATTATAAAAAGAGTTGAGTTCAATAGTTCAAAATGAATTGTTGCTGTAGCAGTGATCTGACTTACACCAAGATTCAGTGTGGCTTCAGTAGAACTAGACACTTTTATACAAGGAATATTAATTAAGCTCAGTCGATTCAACTTTTGATTTTTTTTGCTGCGGGATGTGATAAGTGCTGTGTTCTACTGTTCTATAGATGTAAAACAGTGCAGACTGGATTAACGCTTCTCTGGAGATAGGGGCCAGTGTTCATGCTGCTATTATATATACACTCACACTATGCTGAAGGAGAGGTGGAGAGGAGAAGAGGGGGCAAGTCACCTGTCATTCACACTTCTTTTGGTATTGTATTAGTCCATCACTTGAGAATTTGTTTTGCATCGGGCCAAGAAATCTAATCATGCTTTCTTACAGTTAACTTAAATTTGATTCCTCAATTTTAACTACTTTATTTCATATCTACTTTTACTTCCTCCTCAGACTCAGGAGTTAGACACAAGTGCTTCATACAGCTGTTTAATCAGACTGATTGTTCTCACAGGTAAAGTCCGGTGATGAATTTAGATGTATCTCAAATAAATCCGATTACAGGAAATTACATCTGTTTTGCACCTTTTTTAACATAAACTCCATCCCCTCGCTGTCTGTGGAGGTAACCCCAGTGTAATCCCTCCGAAGCCCAAACAAGTGTATTTTGACTGTGAGGCCTGGACAGGGGAAGTGGGGGATGGATTACCAAAGCCAATCCGACTTCAACGACTAAACTGTTGAAATACAGTTTCTACGGTTCTCCCTTTCTCAGCTCGGGTCTTCTTCCAAAGGCCTGGGAGCTTGATGGTTCTGCACGGTATCTTTGTTGTTGCTAACACTGCACATTTTTGGACGGAGATGTTGTTCAAGGCACTTGTCTTCTGGGACAACAATCGTGTATGTGTATGTTTACACACATATTGTCATGGTGTGGATTTAGTGTTATTCTTTACTTTTACTTTGACTTTTTGTCCTGTTAATTGTCTGCCCGCCCTAATGTGTTTCACTTGCGTCTCTCTGTGTCTATAGCACTCAGCAAGAAGGTTCTGGGTTCGGATCCAGCTAGGAACAGGGCCTTTCTGAGTGCACTGCGTCTGCATAGGTTTCCTCCGGGGGCTCCGGTTCCCCCTATCACTAAAACATGTACAATAGGTATGAATGTAATGAGTGATTGAATGGATGGTGTTGATTGGGGGCTTTGATGCACAAGTGTGTTCGGGGTCTCGCTTTGGCTTACGTCATCACTGTGTGTGGAGAGAATGGAAAAATATCTGATTTCTGAGCATTGTAAAGTGCGTTGGGTGACCTTGGTCTGTAAAATGATCTATATAAATAAACATTACTTACTTACTTAATATATGTACCCTGTGCTCTTCTCAATTTGTTGCTGGTCCATACTCTTTGTTTTGTCTATTTTCCTGGTTCCTGAGTTTGGTTTGGATTTTTTGTTCGTTTTTTTCCCTGGAGTTTCATCTATTCCCTTCATTAAATCATTGTTTTTGCATTCCTGCTTTACGGTCCTTCCGTAATTTCTCCACATGACATATATATCTATACACATGCTATTTATGTCCATACAAATCAGGATTATCACCTCTTCTTGTGTTGGGGATTTGCAGAGGTGACAACACGGTCCTGATCTGTATGGACATTTCCAGTAATTATCATGTATCATAAATGAACATTCACTGATCCACGTTGAAAAATAAAGATGAATCTGTTGTAATGACACACAAGTGTTTCGTCTCGGGGTCTTTGCGGGGACATAAAATAGATGTATGCAGCTGTGATCACATGCTTCACAGGCAACAGGCATCTCCGCAAGAGTGCGAAGTGGCGCAACTCGAAACCCGACTACTAAACAGTTGCGTATAGATCCGGGTAATGTTTTGACGATCACCAGGCAACCCCTTCGTCAGCTTTGATTTTTAATTGGCCGTACTAAATGCCAGTGATAGCATTTAGACGACTTGAGTTTCAGTACTTATCTATAGATTTACATGCTGCCTTCCATGCTGTTCTCACCTTCCTCACTCCTGTGTGTGTGTAAAATGAAACGTCCGTAATGTCAGTGATTTAGAATCTGTGTTTATTATATCTGCGAACTTGTGTCCTGCCTGGTCTTAAGATACCAAGACGGTGAAAACATTTGCTAGATTTAACTACACTACATCTAACTTTAAAGTGACTACAATACAAAGTTCAAGAACTACTGACAGCACTGTGTATGTACTGTCTCAAAGCTATAGTTTTTGTATTATCCATTCCAACTGTAATATTATAATGTTGTGAGCAAATCAGACCACAACATTTTCATCTTATGAGAAAACATATCGGGTCCTATCTTGTTACTGACAAAAGTTTATTTGGTTGTGCAAAGGTGCATACCGGTCATACCTCTAGCTTGCGTATTATGAAGCCTTGTGCGATCTGATTGTTCGTGAGATGATAGCCACTTCACAGAATACATTTGTGCACGCTCACAACACTCAGCCACTGTGAGAGAGCGTTTTTAACCATACAGACTATTGTAGGTTCGAGTAACAGCACAGCCAGCATATTTTTATTTCTGGGCTTATATTTATTTTTTCTAGCTTTGATGTTTTGGCAAGTCGCTCACCAGTGCCCTTGATTATAATGAATAACCGACTGAAGACTTTAAGAAGTGTGCAGCCAAACACGGAAACAAAATTCTAACTGTGAAGGAAGTGCAGCGTTATTCTTACTACTGTAGCCATGTAGAGAGACTGTACTAATGCGTTTGGACCATGGCAGTCTCTTATCAATTTCCAATCCCAGTATTTTGGTCTCATGAACTTTCTCAACACTATCATTGACTGTTAAGTTTAATTTGGGTTCGTCCAACAGGGAAACATCTGGTTCTGAACGCAATACTTTTTGTTTTTACCAACGATGAGTAGG